TGCTAACTCTGCGAGCTATATCGATCACTTTGGTTTTTGCCCGAATGACCTCATTGCGTATTCGGTCTCGCAATGACAAACCAAGCATAGCTCGCTCCATAGCTCGCTGAGTAACTTTTAGTTGGTGGACTAGTCGTACAGTCAGTGTCCACGTTTCGGCTCCGTATGTAAGCACGCAACATCACGAGTACCATCTGATGCAGTAAAAGAGAACAGTATAGTTGTTTCGGTCGCAGAAATAGACAAAAAAATACCAGGTGTAAATTATTATATATGCTGCTCAAAAAATACCTTATCATCAATTATTAAACTGAAACAGTGAATCTCAACATCTCTCTGATTTAAATTGAAGAGGTGATTTGTTAAATTTAGAGATTTTTGAGAATTATGTTCAAGATTAAGAATCATTCACAATCTAATTATTATTGTTCATCTTTTTCAAGCATCATGAAAATAACAACAATAAAATGTTTTAAATCTACCTAATTACAATTCTCAATCCAATTCTAATGATAATTCATGATAAACGAATTTATTTCTCAATTATAATATTATTAATATTAAATAACTAGCTGACCCGGCAGACTTCGTAGTGCCTCAATCGATAAATAAAACTTAAAACTTAAAACAAACTAAAGGAATCGGTCCGACGGGGACACATCAAAGGAAAAACAAAATTCGAGTTATTCGAGTATTTTCATATTTATCTACCTTCTCTGCCTTACCTTCTCTGGAGTTCCACAAATAATTCATGACCAAAATTAGCCAAATCGGTTCAGCCGTTCTCGAGTTTTAGCGAGGCTAATGAACAGCAATTCATTTTTATATATAGAGATAATAATAATAGTATTAATATTTACAAATGAACAAATCTAACACTAAACTTTAAAAAATAGAGGTTTTGCCGCTGTTTTATGACGATATTAAAGTTCAACTAAGGTTTTTATAACAAGATTTAAACATGATAGAGCGTGCTGTCATCTTACTTGTGTCGGTACCATCAACTTACCTATTTCTCCAAACATTAGAAGAGACGTAACTATAACATAATTAGTACTTCACTGTGATAATTATATGTGGGTGGTGACATTGACTATTTTATGTCTATATTGCATTTGGTGGGGTAGCCGTTTTAACTATTCTGAGAACTTAGAACTTATATCTCAAGGTGGGTGGTGCATTTACGTTTTAGATGTCAATGGGCTCCAGTAACCACTTAAAACCAGGTGGGCTGCGAGCTCGTCCAATCATCTAAGCAATAAAAAAATAATTAAAAAAACATAACAAATTTACTGCCGCTGTCGATCTTGACACAGTAGACGATAGTTAGCATTGGAGCACAGCTATGTTGTCTTCACTTTTGGATCTGTTTAGCATTGTCTATATACTCATATAAGTACAATAATTAATAATTTATTTGTTTAATAGTTGAATCTCCAAAAGTACAGACCGAAATTACCTAGGTTTTTCAAGCGATTAACTTTTAAATGCACTAAATTTTTAAAGTTTTTAAAATGATTTTTTCCGACTATACGCACCTTTTTAAAATTAGGTAGCTGACGAGATGATTATACTCATATTAAGTGAGGGAGCATGGCACTAGTTAGAAATAGCCGTCGTCGCAAATCTATGTCACCAAATAACTATCCAGACAGTCTATTATCATTTTAGGATAATAGTTAGTAATAGTGTAGTGCTCATGATAAACTCGATTTGAACATAAACTTTCTCCTGTACTTCACCTATACTACGCCTTACCGACAAAAGTATATCGATGCGGTGGGCAGCGCCTTCGCTCTATCCCTGGCATTGCTGAAGTCCATGGGCGACGGTAACCACTCACCATAAGATGGACCGTATGCTACGTATGTCTACAACTGCAATAAATAAAAAAGATGTTTGGTGTCGTGGGACACCGGATAGGAACAAAGTTCCTTATTATAAAAATATTAATTTTAAGTTCTATTCGAGGTATAAAGAAAATAAAACTGGAGATTTCGCAACAACCCACGGTCATTTGGTAGCGTGCGAACTTATTGTGGTACACTTCATTCACGGTTGTTTGCATAAGAGTTAGTGTATTGCGCAAACGAACGCTCTGAGATCGTGGTCAATCAATGATAAAAAAATATGTTATTTTTTATACGTCATTACAAAATTAAGTCGTACACTGTGTGCATTACTAATAAAAAATCTTACGTTACGGAAGTTTTTTCCCGTTTCATCGTCCCATAAAAACTTTGTTCCAAAAAGATAAAAAAAAAATGTTTTCTATTTAATGACGTTTATTTTTACAGTTTTACTGCCTTACAGCCACATCTTGTTATGCCCTAGAAGAAGGTGAAGAAGGTGAAGAAGGTAAATAAGGTTTTCCGATGTCTGAGGGCAGCAGCGACCACTGTCTGTCGCCAGTCGCTTGCCGGACGCATGCATTTTATGATGCAACAACAAAAAGCTTAAAACAATAAACGTTGTTTTTTTGGATTGTTTTCTTTAATAAAATGTTGTAATTGTCTTGTTTATATTGTATTTCTAAAGGATTCACAGAATTCACCCATGGCCAATTCAGATTTCTATGGACAATGGGACAGACTGCCAGAAATTATTAGTATGGTACCCTTGTGGGCTCATATAGGGCTCATAAAATAATTTATTATTTAAACTGCATTTAAAAATAATAACAATATGGTAACACATATAAATTTTAATTTGAATAAATTAACAAGAGTTCTCATGTAATATTATATAAATTATTTTTATAGGTGTTTACACAATGCAAATATAAATATAATTTAACAAGCAAGCTTGTATAAAACATATGCGTCTCATTTAAGGGCTTATTTTCACAATCGGGGTAATATTTTAATGAATAATTTTAGACGAAATTATAATTCGGATATGCTGCAATGTCCCATAGTTCCATGCGCTGGTGCGATCAGATTAAGACGACTTTGGAATCCAGCATCAATGTCGCTATCCACTGCGCGGAGGACAGGAGTCAATGGAGAAACATAGTCCTAACAAAAGTGCTCCGTAAAGGTCAGCACTGAGGAATACGATGCACGGAGGAGGAGGAGATGCTGCATCTATAATTATAAAAATTGCTACTTTGTGTTCTATTACTCATTTCACTATTACTTATTACTCATTCAACTTACTTCAAACACTACAATTTATTTGATAAAAACTAAAACCACATACAAAAATTAATGAAAATAATTCAAGTGCAGCTTAACAAAAAATACACTTGACACAATATTAATAATTTAGTGTTAAAATTTTAAAATTGATACTCAGTAATCGATATTTGGTGGCGCAGTGAAGATGAAACAGAGCCTGAATTAAAGAACACAAAACTCGTGACTCACTTGATGTTCTCCAAGTCCAGGTCCTCGTCAGTGGTAGCGAAGCAGTTTATAACATCAATGAAAGTACTAGTATGATGCTTTGGCTGTAGTTAAATTGAGTTCAATTTAGAAATTAATATTTTACGAGTTGTGCGCAAAGAAGCGGGAATGCGAATAGTTCTGTAATTGTGTGTGAGTTCCAAATTTAAAATTAAGTTTTGTGGTTATAATACATTTTCGAAAATCCTTAGTCTTCGAGGAGGTGTCACTGAATCTCAAAAAAGCAGAGTCACAGGGATGTAAACTCTAAATTCTAAGCTGTGTTGTAGAAGACGCTCATTCATAATTTATTTTTTTAATATCAATCCCAGTCTTTATACGAACATTTACATTGTCTTGACTAAATTTACCATAATCATTAATAGTAAAATTTCAGCTACGAATTTTAAACGATTAGGTATGTACATCTATCTATATGGGTCGGGTAGATCAACAATTGGAATGCAGCATCTTTTCTTTTACACAAACTACAAACCTACAAATGACAGTGAAAAATCCTTCAAAAAGCAAAAAAATCCCAGATTTTAAAGTGTTCATAGTGACCCTGATGAATTAATGATGATGCATTCCTGTCTTCACCTATCTTAACTAGTTTTTGGAAGTATATATATTTTTAATACCCTCAACTTGAATATCATGACAAAATAAACCTCACACCAACATTATTTCTGTTTTTGACCATACTAGGTGCAATATTTTGTCGTCGTGGCCTAACGGATAAGACGTCCGGTGCATTAGTGTTGAGCGATGCAACGGTGTTCGAATCTCAGGCGGGTACCAATTTTTCTAATGAAATACGTATTCAACAAATGTTCACGATTGACTTCCACGGTGAAGGAATAACATCGTGTAATAAAAATGAAACCCGCAAAATTATAATTTGCGTAATTGCTGGTGGTAAAGACCTCTTGTGAGTCCGCGCGGGTGGGTACCACCACCATGCCTATTTCTGCCGTGAAGCAGTAATGCTTTTCGGTTTGAAGGGTAGGGCAGCCGTTGTAACTATACTTGAGACCTTAGAACTTATATCTCAAGGTGGGTGGCGCATTTACGTTCTGGATGTCTATGGGCTCCAATAATCACTTAACACCAGGTGGGCTGTGATCTCGTCCACCTATGTAAGCAATACAAAAAAAATAGAAAAAAATAGGAATTAGTAGTATAAGTGTATTTAATTTCTCTGTTTCACTTAAGGCGTTCAAGTAGATGATGGTTTTCAAATCAAATCTTCATCAACCTTAAGACTGGGCTCTAATTCCACGGCTCTAATTCCACGTCCCAGTAATCCCTAAGGTGCTAACATTAAATTAGTAAGTTTTTACAAGGAAATACAATAAAACCCGAAAGGTGAATGCAAACTAGCCCTAACCATATTAATACAAACATAAACAAAACCAACATGCAACTTATTTATTAATAATATACACCTGTAAAAATAATAAGATTAATGAGGCGTTAAATATCGGATTCAGTAACACAACGTCGGATGTCCAATTATGAAACCATGAAATCTAAACTTTACAAGAAATAATATAATGTTTCATTTTTAAGTTCGGTTAGAATTATAATACCTAATTGGTTAATAATCCAAAATAGCTATAAATAGCGATCAAAGATTTGAAACATTCAGTTGCATCAAGAAAAAAAACAAAGAGAACGCCTTGCAAAATGGAAACGCTTAACATATTCTTCGTATTGTGTTTGGTAAGTTTTCTTGTTTCATTATTTTAATATCTAAAAACCTTAAAAAATCCCGAATTTTAAACATTAATAGTAGTTAACCAAATAAAAATTACTAAATGCTTTTTCGAATGAGTTTAGTTTCAAGTGGTGGTACTTTTAACGTGGATATGTGGACAATTTCACGACTTAACTATTTTTTTAAAACGGGAATACATTATTATTATTATTATTAAGGTACCACTGATTAGCCTCTTACTCCATCACGATATTTGGTTTCTCACAACTTTACTTCATCGCTTTCGCTCAAGTTCTTCAAGGACTCTTACTCAAAGCAATGGCGATAATTGTGACACTAAAGGCTTAATAAACTTGAAACTTCTCGACCAGCATAAAATAATGAGCGCCGATATGCATTCAGTATTGCTTAGCTTGTCTGCGTAACTATAGAGAAATACTTAAAAAGGCACCTCAATCGATGGTTATTACCTTCAATGTCGCGACCACCTTATATTTTTCGTTTGACCTCCTTACAACCACAGAGAATAAGCACGAAAGTTTATGTATGCCAACTTTGACCATATTAACACAATGAAATAAAATCAATATTTATCACATTCGCCAAAAAATATAAATAAATTTTACATCAAAAAATTGAATTTGGTCACATAAACCCGGATGTGATAAATGACTACAAAAACTTCGATAAACAGTAGCCATAACTTATTTTAATCCTTCTAGCTCTAGAAGGATTAAAAGAAAGATTGCTCAATCAAAGTACTTAATCAGTGGAATCAACGAGGATAAATAAATGGATTCACCATATTCAGCCATTATTCTAATATTGTTTGTTACAGCTTTTCTTCATCGCTTTCACTCAAGCTGCTCAAGGAGCCCCAGGGCAAGGAGGTTTAGGTTCTAAAATCACTAAAGGCCTGCTAAACGTGGACGCAGTGAATCTTTCTGATTAATTAGTCCCATTATATGATTTTAATGTAGCACTAAATAAAATTATTCTCAATATATATTCGTTTCCTTTTTAACGAGGGCGGCACTGAAAATTTCGGGAATTAACGAAGTGACACAACATTACTATTTAAAAATGTATTTATTGCTTTTCGAAGTATTCTCCGCGAAATTTTACACATTTTTCCATACGATGGAACCAATCATTGAAGCAACCATTCCATTCGGAAGTTGGGGTCTCCAAAATGGCCGTTTTGTAGGCGTCCACAGCTTCTTCAGGTGATGAAAATCTCTGTCCACGCAATTTATTCTTTATTTTAGGGAAAGTATAGAAATCATTAGGGCTTAGGTCGAAGCTGTACGGCGGATGATCTAATAATTCTATGTTTTCTTGCTCTAAAAACTCTTTTGTTCTGTGCGCGGTGTGAGAACTCGCATTGTCGTGATGGAGGATGATGCGGCGGTTGCAGTTCTCTTTACGGTGTTCAGAAACGACCTGTGGCAAACAAATGCTAGCATATCATTCTGCATTAACCGTTCTTTGTCCCTCAAGAGGAATAGGTTTTGGAGACAAACGTGGCCACCATTTTTTTTGCAACACTCCGTGAACGAACAATTCTTGTTGGCTTTAACCTTACCGCCAAAGTATATCGATGCGGTGGGCAGCGCCTTGGCTCTGTCCCTGGCATTGCTGAAGTCCATGGGCGACGGTAACCACTCACCATAAGATGGACCGTATGCTACGTATGCCTACAACTGCAATAAATAAAAAAGATGTTTGGTGTCGTGGGACACCGGATAGGAACAAAGTTCCTTATTATAAAAATATTAATTTTAAGTTCTATTCGAGGTATAAAGAAAATAAAACTGGAGATTTCGCAACAACCCACGGTCATTTGGTAGCGTGCGAACTTATTGTGGTACACTTCATTCACGGTTGTTTGCATAAGAGTTAGTGTATTGCGCAAACGAACGCTCTGAGATCGTGGTCAATCAATGATAAAAAAATATGTTATTTTTTATACGTCATTACAAAATTAAGTCATACACTGTGTGCATTACTAATTTGTACGTTATTATAAAGTGAAGTCGTACACTGTATGCATTACTAATACAAAATCTTACGTTACGGAAGTTTTTTCCCGGTTAGGGAACCCCCTAGCACCGTCCCATAAAAAACTTTGTTCCAAAAAGATAAAAAAAAAAATATTCTATTTAATGATGTTTATTTTTACAGTTTTACTGCATTACAGCCACATCTTGTTATGCCCTAGAAGAAGGTGAAGAAGGTAAATAAGGTTTTCCGATGTCTGAGGGCAGCAGCGACCACTGTCTGTCGCCAGTCGCTTGCCGGACGCATGCATTTTATCTATTGATGCAACAACAAAAAGCTTAAAACAATAAACGCTGTTTTTTTGGATTGTTTTCTTTAATAAAATGTTGTAATTGTCTTGTTTATATTGTATTTCTAAAGGATTCACAGAATTCACCCATGGCCAATTCAGATTTCTATGGACAATGGGACAGACTGCCAGAAATTATTAGTATGGTACCCTTGTGGGCTCATATAGGGCTCATAAAATAATTTATTATTTAAACTGCATTTAAAAATAATAACAATATGGTAACACATATAAATTTTAATTTGAATAAATTAACAAGAGCTCTCATGTAATATTATATAAATTATTTTTATAGGTGTTTACACAATGCAAATATAAATATAATTTAACAAGCAAGCTTGTATAAAACATATGCGTCTCATTTAAGGGCTTATTTTCACAATCGGGGTAATATTTTAATGAATAATTTTAGACGAAATTATAATTCGGATATGCTGCGATGTCCCATAGTCCCATGCGCTGGTACGATCAGATTAAGACGACTTTGGAATCCAGCATCAATGTCGCTATACACTGCGCGGAGGACAGGAGTCAATGGAGGAACATAGTCCTAACAAAAGTACTCCGTAAAGGTCAGCACTGAGGAATACGATGCACGGAGGAGGAGGAGTTGCTGCAACACTGTTATATTAGCATTCTGCTCGACTTGGGCTACACTTTAAATCGAGTCCACATCAGTTGGCTGAAAGGTGATATTAATTTTTTTCCCGGGTTCAAGATAACTTCTCCAATACGAAATTCTATAAAATAATTTTATCGAAGTTGATTTCATCGTTTGACCTGAAAACGTAACAAACAAACAGAGCCACTTTCCTATTAATAAGATTCAATATGTACCTAACGTCTAACAGCGTAAAAGGAAATTGAAAAAAAATTATGAACAAACTATATTTACAAATCCAACTAACCATCTATTATAGTTATGGATTTTATTTAAATACAGACTACACTCTAATCCAAGTTAATCTCTGTTTATGTGTGAATGGTACATGAAAAAGTACTCACTAGTTCTGGAGATGCTAGAACAAAGATAAATATAACTATAATTATAAAAATTGCTACTTTGTGTTCTATTACTCATTTCATTATTACTTATTACTCATTCAACTTACTTCAAACACTACAATTTATTTGATAAAAACTAAAACCACATACAAAAATTAATGAAAATAATTCAAGTGCAGCTTAACAAAAAATACACTTGACACAATATTAATAATTTAGTGTTAAAATTTTAAAATTGATACTCAGTAATCGATATTTTGGTGGCGCAGTGAAGATGAAACAGAGCCTGAATTAAAGAACACAAAACTCGTGACTCACTTGATGTTCTCCAAGTCCAGGTCCTCGTGAGTGGTAGCGAAGCAGTTTATAATATCAGTGAAAGTAATAACATATGATGCGATAGCTGTGGTTAAATTGAGTTCAATTTAGATATTAATATTTTACGAGCTGTGCGCAAAGAAGCGGGAATGCGAATAGTTCTGTAATTGTGTGTGAGTTCCAAATTTTAAATTACGTTTTTTGATTATACATTTTCGAAAAGCCTTCATATTCAAGGAAGAGTCGCTGTATCCCAAAGAAGCAGTATCACAGGGATGTAAACCCTAAATTCTAAGCTGTGTTGTAGAAGACGCTCATTCATAATTTATTTTTTTAATATCAATCCCAGTCTTTATACGAACATTTACATTGTCTTGACTAAATTTACCATAATCATTAATAGTAAAATTTCAGCTACGAATTTTAAACGATTAGGTATGTACATCTATCTATATGGGTCGGGTAGATCAACAATTGGAATGCAGCATCTTTTCTTTTACACAAACTACAAACCTACAAATGACAGTGAAAAATCCTTCAAAAAGCAAAAAATCCCAGATTTTAAAGTGTTCATGGTGACCCTGATGCATTCCTGTCTTTACCTATCTTAACTAGTTTTTGGAAGTATATATTTTTTAATACCTCAACTTGAATATCATGACAAAATAAACCTCACACCAACATTATTTTTGTTTTTGACCATACTAGGTGCAATATTTTGTCGTCGTGGCCTAACGGATAAGACGTCCGGTGCATTAGTGTTGAGCGATGCACCGGTGTTCGAATCTCAGGCGGGTACCAATTTTTCTAATGAAATACGTATTCAACAAATGTTCACGATTGACTTCCACGGTGAAGGAATAACATCGTGTAATAAAAATGAAACCCGCAAAATTATAATTTGCGTAATTGCTGGTGGTAAAGACCTCTTGTGAGTCCGCGCAGGTGGGTACCACCACCATGCCTATTTCTACCGTGAAGCAGTAATGCTTTTCGGTTTGAAGGGTAGGGCAGCCGTTGTAACTATACTTGAGACCTTAGAACTTATATCTCAAGGTGGGTGGCGCATTTACGTTCTGGATGTCTATGGGCTCCAATAATCACTTAACACCAGGTGGGCTGTGATCTCGTCCACCTATGTAAACAATACAAAACAAATAGAAAAAAATAGGAATTAGTAGTATAAGTGTATTTAATTTCTCTTTTTCACTTAAGGCGTTCAAGTAGATGATGGTTTTCAAATCAAATCTTCATCAACCTTAAGACTGGGCTCTAATTCCACGGCTCTAATTCCACGTCCCAGTAATCACTAAGGTGCTAACATTAAATTAGTAAGTTTTTACAAGGAAATACAATAAAACCCGAAAGGTGAATGCAAACTAGCCCTAACCATATTAATACAAACATAAACAAAACCAACATGCAACTTATTTATTAATAATATACACCTGTAAAAATAATAAGATTAATGAGGCGTTAAATATCGGATTCAGTAACACAACGTCGGATGTCCAATTATGAAACCATGAAATCTAAACTTTACAAGAAATATTATAATGTTTCATTTTTAAGTTCGGTTAGAATTATAATACCTAATTGGTTAAGAATCCAAAATAGCTATAAATAGCGATCAAAGATTTGAAACATTCAGTTGCATCAAGAAAAAAAACAAAGAGAACGCCTTGCAAAATGGAAACGCTTAACATATTCTTCGTATTGTGTTTGGTAAGTTTTCTTGTTTCATTATTTTAATATCTAAAAACCTTAAAAAATCCCGAATTTTAAACATTAATAGTAGTTAACCAAATAAAAATTACTAAATGCTTTTTCGAATGAATTTAGTTTCAAGTGGTGGTACTTTTAACGTGGATATGTGGACAATTTCACGACTTACCTATTTTTCTAAAACGGGTTTACATTATTATTATTATTATTAAGGTACCACTGATTAGCCTTACTCCATCACGATATTTGGTTTCTCACAACTTTACTTCATCGCTTTCGCTCAAGTTCTTCAAGGACTCTTACTCAAAGCAATGGCGATAATTGTGACACTAAAGGCTTAATAAGCTTGAAACTTCTCGACCAGCATAAAATAATGAGCGCCGATATGCATTCAGTATTGCTTAGCTTGTCTGCGTAACTATAGAGAAATACTTAAAAAGGCACCTCAATCGATGGTTATTACCTTCAATGTCGCGACCACCTTATATTTTTCGTTTGACCTCCCTACAACCACAGAGAATAAGCACGAAAGTTTATGTATGCCAACTTTGACCATATGAACACAATGAAATAAAATCAATATTTATCACATTCGCCAAAAAATATAAATAAATTTTACATAAAAAAATTGAATTTGGTCACATAAACCCGGATGTGATAAATGACTACAAAAACTTCGATAAACAGTAGCCATAACTTATTTTAATCCTTCTAGCTCTAGAAGGATTAAAAGAAAGATTGTTCAATCAAAGTACTTAATCAGTGGAATCAACGAGGATAAATAAATGGATTCACCATATTCAGCCATTATTCTAATATTATTTGTTACAGCTTTTCTTCATCGCTTTCACTCAAGTTCCTGAAGGAGCCCCAGGTCAAGGAGGTTTAGGTTCTAAAATCACTAAAGGCCTGCTAAACGTGGACGCAGTGAATCTTTCTGATTAATTAGTCCCATTATATGATTTTAATGTAGCACTAAATAAAATTATTCTCAATATATATTCGTTTCCTTTTTAACGAGGGCGGCACTGAAAATTTCGGGAATTAACGAAGTGACACAACATTACTATTTAAAAATGTATTTATTGCTTTTCGAAGTATTCTCCGCGAAATTTTACACATTTTTCCATACGATGGAACCAATCATTGAAGCAACCATTCCATTCCGAAGTTGGGGTCTCCAAAATGGCCGTTTTGTAGGCGTCCACAGCTTCTTCAGGTGATGAAAATCTCTGTCCACGCAATTTATTCTTTATTTTAGGGAAAGTATAGAAATCATTAGGGCTTAGGTCGGGGCTGTACGGCGGATGGTCTAATAATTCTATGTTTTCTTGCTCTAAAAACCCTTTTGTTCTATGCGCGGTGTGAGAACTCGCATTGTCGTGATGAAGGATGATGCGGCGGTTGCAGTTCTCTTTACGGAGTTCAGAAACGACCTGTGGCAAACAAATGCTAGCATACCATTCTGCATTAACCGTTCTTTGTCCCTCAAGAGGAGTAGTCGTAACATGGCCTGTTTTGGAGACAAACGTGGCCACCATTTTTTTTGCAACACTCCGTGAACGAACAATTCTTGTTGGCTTTAACTCATTTTCGAACACCCAAACTCGTGACTGGTTTTTTGTTTCGGGTTCGTACGCATATATCCAGGATTCGTTACCTGATACAATGTTGTATACAGCATTTGAGGATCCTGCGTGGAATCTTTCGAGAGTTCTGACGCACCAAGTAACGCGAGCCGCTTTTTGCTCTTCACAGAGCGAATGCGGTATCCATCGGGAAAACAACTTTTTTACACCTAATTGTTCATGCAAGATTATTTGTATTTGACTCATGGTAATGTCTAAAGTTGCCTGAATTTCGCGGTATGTCACATGTCGATCTTCCTCAATCAGCTTACGCACAGCATCAACTTTTTCTTGGGTGACTGCAGTTTTTGGACGACCTTGACGGGGATCATCACTGAGCT